TTTTTATAATGGTCGCTATCAGAAAATGGATTTTAAGTCAATATTGATCAAAATGTATGTTTTCGAAATGGTAGACAATTCGATTTTAACTCTGTCATTCACTAGACATCATGATTATTATCCGGGCATACATCTAATTTCGATTTCATGTTAGGTTTCCTGCATATATTGCTGTTAAGTTACAAAGTAGAATAAAACTTTTGTCAATCGTTTCTTGGTTTGTAAACGTCTTTCTTCCTAATTCCAGTGTGTAAGCCAGACGAAATTAGAAATTAATCAATGTCTACAGGCTTTCATTCGCAAATATTTTTTATATTATGAAACACCAGCTAAGCTAAAATGCTCGGATACCTGATGATTCATTTGAAAATAAGAAACGTGGAATGGTATAAACGTACTAAAAATAATGTAAGATTGATTACTTGATATTCATAAAAGATGTTTAGAATTTATGTATACACATTAATGTTAAAATGAAGCCGAAGTCAACACTATGGCTGAATAATATGTTTAGTGTTCTGAACGTAGGAGATTATTCCTGTTTAGGTTCTTCCAGTCAGCCACACTCAAACGTATAACTCACCTTCGGCATACGTTAAAAATGTTAATTTTTTTTACCTTGCATCTAATAAAGTAGTCATGAATTATTTAGTTGAAATAAATTCATTAAATAGTTTACAACATTGTTTGGACTTTGCATAATAATACTATATGGTTTTGGCTTACGTACACTATGTGTTCAAGATTAATTGTGATTATATAAGATACAGCTTATCACTTGCGAACATATCTTTGTAAACACGTAAGTTAACAAATTTGAATTTATTAAAGAAGAAAGATAATGTTGGTAAAATACACCAAAATGTTTTATTTTTACTGTTTGTTTTTGGATCCTCACAACTGAAAGTTTGTGATAAAACTTCAAATTAATAAAATAGATGTTTTTTTTAAAGCCATAATACAAGATACTGAATCAAGAAATCTAAAAGCCTATTGTCAACTCACATGCTAATTAGAAATAGAAATAATAATACTGTGTTAATACTATTAATAACAAACAATCGGTAATGGGTTTCTGTAATTACATAGTAGTTTTTGAAGCAAAAGTTGGAATGCATTGTCATTTATTTTATTTGACATCCGATCGTCTGACCCTCGTTCCCGACCGCAGCAGCGTTGACATAGGCTGATAAAAAGCATACATAATGATCATGAGCAGGGGTGAGTAGCAAAAGTAGAAAAAATGGAAAAAGCAGCTGCGATAGGTAACAGTAGAAAACTGTTCTGATTTTTCAAGGAAACGGTTATCAGATATCCAACTGTTATATTAGGCCGATCGTCAGAGCATTTTATGGAGCGATACGACTGGCATTCAGCTACACTCTAGTTACCCATTATCTCCAAGCAACCTAAATGACAAACTGATGTAAGTTCCCCATTTCTTAGTGATATCAAAAAGGCTATAAGCAATCTAAATCTAGGAAGAGCAGCAGGATCTAATGAACATACTCTTGAGATTTTCAAGAATATTGGTCTAGCCTTAGCCTTATCTTCAATAATACTTTGATATATAACTAGAGCTTGTGAAGAGCAAACCGGCGAAAATTGGTCTGGTTTTAGACTTAGACATGAATGTAAAGATCAAATATTCACCTTTCAGGAGATTCTAAAACATAGACATACTTTTTGATACCCTACTATTGTCGTGTTCCTTGACTTTAATACATTGTTCGAATGTGTTGATTGTGATCTTCTGTGACTGTGCCTCATTTAAAGACGTACCAAAGAAGTACATTAACCTTGTACAAGCTCTTTTCTCGAACATTTCTGATCGTGACTAAGCTAAAGGCGAACCGTCGTCGGAATTGGTTACTTCAAGTGGTATTCGTCAAAGTTGCGCGCTTTCTTCGCTTTTATTTACCTTTGTTATTGAAATGCTTTTAGAGATAACACTGTCATCGTTTAACTTTTTGAAGGTTGATCTTCTATCAGGAGATTCATTTTTTTACTTGAAATACGCAGACATTATAGTTCTGTTTGGCGAAGACGTTGACAAAGTGCACAGACTTCTGATCAACTTAACCAACAATTTATGCACGTCTGGGATGTGGTTTTCTTCCTCGAAATAAGACTTTTTGTCTCAAAACCTGGACTAACGATAAATACTGAATTAGTTAAGTGAATCGATCGCTTCATTTATCATGGAAGTCTTGTCAGTACTGGTGGCTTAGTATCTGACTAAACCCCGGCGCGGATTCAAAATGTTCAATTAGCTTCTGCCCATTCGCGTCACTTGTGATAAAAGCGTCTTCTAAAACAAGACCATTAAGAGTAGAGGATATTCCTAGGTTACTATTATTCGATCATAGCTATCTACAAAGTATTACTCGAGTATTTTGGGACAACGTATTTAGTAATGCCCTGAGTTAAGAATGGTAAATCGATTAATAAAGTAGTAAATTCTCATCAACTGTTTCGTATAACCAACGACCGCTTACCTCGATGGGTAACTTTTTCTGGTGCAAAAATAGTCTCGATGGAGCTACAGGGCGGCCACACCAAACATGGCATCAATCTATGAAACAATTAACAAGCGGCTTGAGTCACATGAATAAGGGTAGACTACCTGGTTGGGGTCTGCGTGACTATCATAACCAATGGTTAGAGACTTTCAATAAAATGGATTAAAATCGTTTTGAATAGAGCAAGTGCATCCATTCCTGTTCGTCCCCGAAATCCTGAGATTATAAATTTCTCACAACGCTTTTATTTTACCAATTTATATTTTCTGAAGTTCTGTCTTCAATGCCTAGTTTTTCTTATTACCATTATCACTATTGTTACCTCTAATATTCATGGATTTTGCCTGACAATTTCATATCTGTGCTAATTGGGTTGGACAAATTGAATCGATGTACATACACACCAGGTTATGTATCATGACCAACTGAATAATCTCCGTTATATACACAGGTGTATTTTTTAACACTTTCCAAAATTGCAATTTTCTCAAAGCTACATAAATCATTCTGTTTTATTTGCTCTGATGATTGGTGGGTATTTGATGCTTCATGTTGAATAATGTATATAATGCAGTGTATTTTTCAGTAAATAGTTTGTTGATTGTGAGCTACACGTTTCTGATAGTATACCACTAAACTAGTTTGAACTATTTAACATTAGAATCATGCTTCAATAACGTACATTGAATCAGATTTAGTAAATAAAAACGAAAAAAACATCTTCTCTTTTGATTTTTACTTTCACTTCGATTTTCTTGTTAAAATTTCTCATCAATAAAGTGCGTTTACATACATAAGTAATATTCTTTAGTAGAAAAAATGTAGTGTTACAAAAGACTATTATATCTAGCATTCGTATCAGAATATTATGTAAACCTATTTCTATTCTATCATTTCGTGTCCATTCTTATTGAAATAGTTTTATGCTTCAGTTTCTTATCATTTTTATATGTATATATTCCAATACTAAGATTACTATCAGTTTATTATTTGAGAGTAAAAAATATACTTCGACAAATAGTACTTAATAAGCTTTTCCATCTATCCTATGTATTTTTATATAAAATATATCGATTATTATTCTGGGAAATATATATTACATCGGAATACTGTAGTTGTGTTGTTTATTTTTTGAGTTTATTAAACTCATACTTATTGCCATCTAAAATTTTCATTAATCTATTTGCTTGTACATGATATTGCTCCTCATACATATTAGTTTCTCTTTTTTTCCCTAAATTTTCTGCTCCAATTTCACTCTTTTCTAATTCGTGACTAAATCCGTTTATTTATTCTTTTTCATCCTTTAAATATTGAGTAGTCCATTTCCCTTGATTGTATTATTATTATTATTATTATTATTATAATCCGTATAAATTTAATACCAATGAACCGTTTAAAAGTTTTTATTTACTATTAATTACTTTTAATCACTAGAAAATGTTAATATAACAAATGAGTTTTACAAGAACTAATAAAAACAAAACAAAATAATAATCTCATTTTATCAATATAGAATTACTGTATTGTATTATTCTTTCTCTATTTTTAACAACAAAACAACATATACAAATTCATTCAATATTCAACTAGAAGTATGACTCATTTAATTATACTACTTATTGAAATGTTTTTTTTTCTCTACAAGAACTTTACATATATTCAGTCGGTAGTGATATTTTTTTTGGCATACAAAAAGTTGACCAAATGTTTAACGTTACTTTCTCAGTGAAATCATGAAACTTTATGTTTGTTGATCAGATCTCATGTTAAAAAAATACTGCATTAATTCCGGGGTTTTTTTTTCCTACAATGTTCTATTTTTCTAAAATTTCGTATTTCATTGATATTAACAGTAGAATTAAAACAATGATAAGATGAAGAGGTAATTGTAAATTATTATGTAACGTATGAAAGTAAGAAAGAAAATAAACAATAAAAAAGATATTTATTCATGAAAAAATTTAATTGAATAAAGAGAGTAATATAAAAAAATGCCACATTTTAACATTAGTTAATGCAATAAGTAATATGTCGGTTATACAAATACCATTAGAAGAATGGCCTTATAGTCTCTATTAAAAGTATACCATAGAAATAAGTTTATCAGACAATGAATTTATTTTCTGCAGAAAAAAACTTGCTGTAATTCTTTTTTATGTAAGTTTTATCATCCTTTGTATTCAGTGACTTCTTAACATATGACTAATCTTCTTTAACTTTAAACGATATTGTATGAGAATATATCAAATTTAACTTCATTACTTAATGTCACTAACTCTAACATATGCATGAGTGTTAACCAATTTCCTTCAAAACATTCAATGTTATTCAATATGCCATTGCGATAATTAATCTAATTATTTAGTTAATTTTTTTCCAAAACATTTTATTTAATAGTTTATAGAAGATCCCAGCATTGGGTAAAGTGTAAGAATATTTCATTTTCTATATTCTTTTCTTACACACTCCGTCTAGGAGCACCAAGACTTCTACAGGCCATTGCTCAAGACAATGTTATGCCATTCTTGGATGTATTCAAAGTGATTACAAAACGTGGTGAACCATTACGTGCACAACTACTCTGTTATGGAATTGCACAACTGGGTATACTAATCGCTTCAATAGATCATCTTACTCCTCTGATTACCATGTACGTTTTATTGTGTTCTTTGTTTATAACTTATCTTTGGTTTGTATTTATTTTGTATTTTTATTCATCGTTACAAGGAAAGGAATATAACAATATGTATTTTACTTACAAAATAGAGAAACTTATAAGTTTGAAAATTAACATAGTGCTCATAATGAAATGGAATAAGCAAAGCTTAATTGATACTCAGACACATAAATGCAAAGTGCAAGAGAACTTATATCAAGTTGCAGAAACCCGGCTTTACTACATATATTAGTTCTATCTCAATATATGCTTTAAAATCAGTAGAATTTTATTGATCAGCTCGAACATCTAGACAAAATATGACATTGATTTACTCAGTACTTGAAAATATTTCAATCATTAAGAAGATCAGTAGATGTCATAAAATGGCAACAACAAAATCTAAAAAATATAAAACTAGATGACACTTAAAGTATCAGTTCTCTGAAGGCTATAGATAGGTCTCACTGACGAGTAATAACTAGCATTGCATCTAGAGAAAGGGTTTTCTACTCTCTTTCCAACCACCTAACATCAAATACTAGATCGTGCTCGTCAGATGAAATATTTAGCATTAGTAAGCAGAAATATTAATTGGGCGTTTAATTTATTGTCTCGTGAATCAATCTTTGTTATTGACCGTAGTCTAAAAGTTTTTGTTTGTTCAAATGAATCAATACATTGAACAGTAATGTATTGATCACTGATTACGCGAAAAATTGCGTTACAGAGTAAATATGATCTTTATTTCTGTTTTTGTTATTTTAGTTAGTTTCTATCTAATAAATCTATTACATTTGTTTTATTAAGAAGTTAAATCAACTATAAAGAATCAGAAATGAATTAACATAACAAATTATTTGCTGTTTTCATATAAACCCCTAATTAGTTGTAATGATTACGATCGTTGTGTCCAATAATTATATCTAACAAATCATACGGTTGTTCTATAGTTTATTTGGAATTTTTCTATGATTTTTCAATATAATTCGTTCTCTTTTACTTCTACATAACAATGCAATCTATATATACATTATTAGAAGTCTTTATGAATTAGTTTAAAAGCTTTTCACTTACTACATATAAATAATTATAGTAGCGAAATAACAACAAAACTATTTTAATTTAGATTTGATTCTATCTATTTGAAATGTCCAACACATGTTGTTATTTTTCTCTTTGTAATAAAATATCTTAATTTAAAGTTTATGTTGATATTACACGTAGAATTCCTTAATAAACTTTGAAGAGTTATAAGTGAAAGGACAATGTTCACACAAAAATTTGCTTTATTATTGAAGACAACCTAATAAATTATAAAATAATCACATTGAAACTGACCAAAATTGTTATTAAATCAAACAAGAGAAAATGCTGTTACACTTATTTTGTGAATCATTCATGTTGTTTGTTTCTTTCGTCCTTTTTTTCATAAAGATATAATATTCAATCTTCAAATCAGTACTGTTTTAATCTTTCATATTTTTTACACAAATATATTATGTGTTATTAAACAACTATGACATAGTAATTAATCATTTCAAAAACAACCCGAAATATCCAACTGACCATTAACATATGATCTCAAATTTTACAAATCACAAACATCTTAAAATGGTTTTACTCTGAACATTCATATTTACAACTACTTATCCTTTCAATAGTTCGTCTTACAATAAAGAATCAATAGGTATTTTATATTTATTTATGTAAGAATAAAGTACATACTATGTGATTTATTTCTGTAGTTCATATGTTCACAGTTCATGGTTCCTTTTTACTAGGAGAAAGATCCAGACACCATGTTATATAAATATATACACATGACAAGAAAATAACAAGCTAAAACTTAGGCCAGATTAATTTCTACATATATTACTTTTGTAGAAAAACATATGTCATATATTTTAGGCAGAAATCATTAAAACCGTGCAATCTGGATTTAGCTTTTTAAATCACTAAATATTTAACCAATTACAGTGTTCCATATTTACTAGAATTTCAATAACTAGTAAAGATTGTAAAAAAAACCAAGAAGTTGGCCACTGACATGATAACATTAAGTTTATTAGTCTAATTAAGGAAATAGAAAAATCGAATAAGCGCTGTTAGTAAAAAAGCCGTGACCACTGCATTTCAGTCTTGTCGAACGTGAAACAAATATTATGAATGATGATAGGTGATTGGTGCACAATATCTTCAACTGATTGATGTTAAACGTATAGTCCTTTTGATCTCGGCCTTTGGACTCAAGAGTTATGTGCTCGTCACGATGCCTGTATATCGTGAACTCGATCGCCTATATGGTCACGGGTTCGTCCTGCTTAAAAAAAACACATACTGGGACGAAACAACTGACCAGTGCTTCCTGATTTTCAATGCTTGCTTAACTAACAGTATTCAGTGATGCAAACAGTGATATTACAAAGACGTTAAAATTAATAGTTATTCATTGTACACATTTCACTTTTGGCGCCATTGATTTCCAAAGATTCTGGAATAAAAAATAATAAATAATCAGTTTCATATCTTAGTGAACGCAATAAATGCTTATAATCCTAACTCACAACAAAATTATCGACTACTAAATTATGGATAAGATCGTACAAATGACTGGTTCCATGAATTAAATTGATAAATTGATGTCATCTTTTTTGATTTATTAATTAAAACCATTTCATTTAGTTTAGTGCGTAATCAAACACATTGTCCAAATACATAGTCCGTAATAAGTCTAGTTTGTATTCATATAATACATGAATATTTGAAATTCAATTGAAACCCTTTTAAAATTGACCAGATTTATTTTTTATTTGTTTCATCACGAAATTTTAACAGTGAAAACACTATTCTTATTATTCGAAAGTTGTCAGATATTTATCTTAAATGTCAAACTAACAATGTATTAAGGAAATGTTTACAGTTATATAAATGACTGTAGTAAGTTCGTAGGATGTTTAACTGACTGATACCTAACAATCTATACGGATGATTGAATAAAATCAGGATTTACCAGATTTTATGTATAGATCAGCGTATGAGCCTCTTCAGTTTCAGAGGCAGTGTACTGCATGTTTCTCGTCTATCCAAACACCGTACATCCCATGGAAACAGATGATTGGAAATTCTTCAAAATTGACTACAACCATATGGTCCTATTTATGTGCATAATTCGCAAACTTCAACTAAATCTGCAACGTCTAACCAGAAGATCAATATGAAACGATTACTTGTAAAGATTATGTAAAAACCGAGTTACTTTGTCATTACACACCCAAAGTAAAAGGTATTCTTAAATTCCCGATAATCCCAAATTATTAAACTTTTGATAGATCACTGATTACAATTTCATCTTACTAATTTGGGGTTTATCAGTTATCGCATTGTTTAGAATCAGAACACTGTAAAGTGATCGATTAAAAATATAGTAACTTGTGGTTAAACACTAGTCAAAGAATATTTATTTTTTTGATAATAGATGTAATTCGCTTTATTTGTTGTAAATCTTAATGACGCTTCATTACGTCCTAATCTTCAGAAACGTTGAGAAACAGATGTATTGAATGCTTACATATATTCGACGAAAAAAATTGATTCACATATTACTCAACAGTTTATTTCCAACAGATCATACATTTTATAATTTCATCGTGATTTAGTTTTTTCCATCTCATCCGTTTAGAACTTCGTGATTCGTGTATAGCTAATGATAGCTCTGAATTTTTCATTAAATTAAACATACTTCCGTTTATTTCTTTCAAAAACCACTTGAGAACAATATTAGTTTATTCACACAGTTACAAATCGTTACCTACATAGTTAAGAATTAACTATTGCCTAATTATTTATTTAGAAGTTTTCCATATATGCTACATTTCATTAGACAGATGGATAATTTTGTGTGTACATAATTCATGCTAATAGTTACGTCATAAAAAATGTTTTAAGTCCCATATTTGTGTTACATCATACTGTTGTCTTAACAATATATTAACTTATTGCCTTTGTGTTCTGTAATATCACGAGGAAAACCAGTTCAAAATTCATTCTTTTTCTTATTGTGAATTATATCACTGTTGACGGTCTGTATGTAGGATTCATTACTATTTGACTAGGAATTTATGTTTACTATTCACTGTTACAAAAACTTACTTGTTGTTTTAAAAGTTCATCCGTATGGCTATAAAAAGACGTACAGTTTAGTTTTCTACTTAGATATGTACTATCTTTCATTGGAATCAATAATCTTAACAGAATACATTCCAAGTAATTTGTAATAATAGTTATAATTCGTTAAAAAGTGTCATATTCATTTTCAGATTTCATTTTCTTATATTTGTGTAGTTTAACTAATATCAAAACCTTTTGCTATCGCTTGACATTTGTTCATCGGCTAAAACCAAATATACTACACTTCCCTCTTGTATTTATTACAAAGTGGTTATATATGAAATAATCTAGTTGATTTTCCCAACACGTATAGAAAATAGCTTTCCAAAATTGTTTTGTCCATTAATCGAGTTTTCGACAAATTTTATTCTTTTTTTCGCTAAACGCCTGAGTGAGAAAACAAACAATATCTTAGATGTGTTTGTAAATAATGAACTGCAACAATATTTTGTTTTCTACTTGAAACTTCGTCATTTCTTTTTAATAGCTATCATGTTGTTTGTATGTTAATGGAAGAATAAATTATTATTGTTTGGTGATTAACAGAAATTCAATGGTGATAATAATAACCATATCATACCAATAAACTGTTTATTCAGAAAATAGACTTTACATAACTTTTCGCACTTTATCACATAGAAAATTTCTTTTGCATCGTACTGTTATATTTTCACAGAAAGTAATCAAGTAGAAACATAGTATGCTTAAGAATAGTTACATGTGATGAGAAATCCCCCTTATTTACTTATGATATTTTCAATTCACTGATACACTTAATTTGTATGCCATCTACACTATCGCTTGTCATTGTTCATTGATTTTAC